TTTAAATGTGTTTTGTGTTCAGGAGCTTTAATAAACAATGTTTAACAAAACAATGGGCATCATGAGGTGATCAAATACGTGTCTGGTCATCACTAATCTCTACACCTCTGAATATTAAGACCTGTGTTTCTTACTTTGTCTTTAGTCAAGTTTAGGATTAACTGAAATAACTTTTACACAGGTTCAGTTAAAGTACACTCTATAATAATGGAGGACATTTGTTTCTTCCAAGTCAGCTGGAACTGTTTCGTCTTGGGGTCAAAAAACTATTGCCTTGCCAACATGAAAACAATCTCTATGTGTGAGGCAGAGGCCTGGTCACATGGTTTGGTTTCTTATGGAGTTCAGTGTCTAACAGAATAGCAAGATATTTTCATTAATTAGAAAAAAGAAAAAAAAAGTAATAGTTAGAGAGTTTAACCGCAATAAAGCAGTTAAACTTGAAATGCAGTGGAACCTCGAGTTACAAACATAATCCGTTCCAGGACCAAGCTCGTAACTTGAGGTGCTCGTATCTCAAATCATTTTTTTCCCATAAGAAATAACAGAACAAAAATTAAACCGTTCCGGCCCTATAAAAAAACCCCCTTATTAGTGCTAATAATGTTTTTAATTGCTATAGAGACAAAAATATTAGTATATAAGGATTCCTGTGATATAAAATAAATGTGGTTCTTACCTTCGAGACAGACAATACAGTAGAGGCTAATGGTGGCATGTGCAGAGGAGGAGGAGGGAGGGAGGAAAGGGAAGAGAGTTGACCCGTACGTAGACACTTGATTCCGTAGCGTACCTTACACGTACACTACACTTACATAAACTTAGAATTAACTTAACAATACAGAAGACTTGCAGGAGATGCATACGGAAGTCGACGAACACGTGAAGTGAACAAACGAAGCGCCGTGGGCTGCTCTGAGTGCTTGGCCACCTAGTGTCGGTGTCTGCGTAAATATCAGGACTGTGAAACAGAACATGTTAAATGTAAAAGAGCATCTCCTGTTACTGCAGAAGTTAACAACTTTGCTCAGCTCTGACTGAAAACCCCAAAAAACAAACCCAAAATAAAACTCAAAGACACCGTTGAACTGTTACACGTTACAAATTCGCGTTCATTCCATACTGCCATCTAGCAGCTATTCACCAGAATCATTGGAAAGGAATTTTGCACACGGAATTTCAATCAGCAAACTGCATCAATCTGTCCATCACCAAACTCTTAGCCGGCTCCATGCCTTCAGATGTTCCTTGGCTTGTCTTCAGGTGACAGGCTCAGAGAGAACTTTTAAATAGGCCAATACCACAGAACAAACAGTGAACGACAGGTTGTCATGGGAACTGATCCTGACTTGACATCACTCAGCAGCCACACAAGCTGGAAGGATCCAGAGACCATCTGAGGCAGACCGAGACCACACCAGTGCAATGCTGCTCAAAGCAACATACACACGTGAAGCCTCTGTCAGGTTGTGTGAAGGTTGCCAACACTGTCCTGATAAGGCACGACCGCAGACGTCGACACCATTAACCACACTGCAGGTGTGTAACAAGGACAGATTTTTGGCAACATTAAAGCTTTAATCCATGTGATATACTTTAGTTATCCAACAGTGTTGGCAGTTGCGTTTCAGACAGACTGAAACACTTTTGATTGAGTGTGTGTATAAATATAGGTATGTGTGTGCGTGAGCAAGAGCAAGAGCAAGAGAGAGGGAGAGAGATGGGATTTTTAAGAGCTATAGAGACAACGTTATCTATTGAACGTGTCCCACCACAGATGACATTTGATTATAATTAAATGGTTAAAAGCAGATATGAGAACATGGCTGAGACTCATCAAAGACTTAGTTAAAAAGATCTGGCAGAGAACCATGAGAAGAAATATGGCAGCAAAAAAGATCTGGCAGCGAACCATGAGAAGAAATATGGCAGCAAAAACAATAAAAACCTCAGGCTTCGCTGGGAAATAATTAAAAAAAAAAACTGTTGCAATTTGACTTGTGGCAATGTACAGTTTTATCACTGTTAATTATTGTGGATTTGATTTTCAATAACTAAGGAGTGAATTCCTCTCCTTGTCTTTTAGAGTGCCAGGGGTACACTATTAAATTAATTTTAGTTTTTAATTCAATTTGTTGTCAAAGCTGATGTTAAACACATATATTTTATCTTTTTCTTTACTGCAGACCTAAATGTTCATATTTGAAAAAAAAAGGTTATGTATCTCAACTCATGTGAATTCATGTAAAGAACTGTCACTTTTGGATATGTAGAAAAGTTTTGGGTTTTTTTTTCTTTATAGGAACAGCGGTTCTCAAATGACCAGCTCATGAACCATCGTCTTTTGGCTGTGGCCCAATTTTAATACAGTCGTTCCATCAATCAATAGGAACGTTGTCTTTTTTTCAGCTGAGGAAATAAACAGTAAGCAACATTGGCTACCTATGAAGCAGAGATATTGCGTCTTCTTTGTAGGCTTCTGGCCATCAAACAACACATGTCTATGTGCCCTTTAATTTCAAAAGAATGGAATTCCACTGATATTTCATCACATCTATCAATACATCATCACATCTATCAATAAATGGAGATTGTCCCTCCTCGGTTTTTGTAATATTTAAATTAACAAAACTGACAGTGATCTAGTGACAGAGACGTTTTATTTTTAATGGACTTTTATTTTAGATTTTTACTAACTTTATGTCCACGTACATGGCACAAATAAGTGACTAGTGGCCTTGTTTTTCCATAGACATCCCTACATTCAGAGTTAGTTCTAAATCCCACACAGCAGCGTCATCGCCCTGGGAGCTTCACTGATAGGCTACAGATGGTCCGTTTATAATATACAGTCTAGTCCTTTCCCAGAGAGCCACTTTGGAGTCAGTTCATAAAACTCTCTTAACACAATGTAATGTACAATGGGTAAATTCTCCACTCATTTGTTCTTTTCCAAGTAATTCAAGTGTCAACACCATTTGGTTTTCAATCTTGGCGTAAACAATTCAAATGTTGGACCGCTAACTGTAAACACTATGATTAAATCAGTAATTTAAAAGCGTTCGGTACCGCCCCCCACCCAAGTCCTTTCACTAAATAGTTAAATAAATGCTTGGTATATGACTACTCTTAGCAGCTCATGTTAAAAAAAAAAAAAAAGTTTAAGTTTAACAAGTGCAACGTTTTTCGTCAGTGGACTTTCGTGTTCTAAACTAATTTTTATTATTATTTTTTAATTTAAAGTGACAGGTAACAATGACGGTCGAAGTTAATTAGACTTTTTATCTAATGGTTTTATTTATTATTGCATTTCTATAAATCTTTTCATTTATATAAAAAGGACATTTCTGTTATCCTTACTCTGATTTCCAGAAGCATTATGTGTCAAAAACACAACGTATTTAATGACAACGGTATGTTCTAGAATTTTCTTCGACACAGACTGCTTTAGAGCGGAAAAGCGAAGTGTATTAGTAGGGTTCACAGGTTTCACTGACCTGGCCGCAGCATCCCAGAGCCGGACTCTCCCTCTACTTCTCCCGGTGACTCAGCAGGTGAAGTCGCGGTGCTCATTGTTGTGCAAGTCGTCGTCAGCCAGAGAATACAACACGTCCATTTTAACAACATCTTCAACACAACTGACACAACAACACTTACACATGAGGGTCAGTTCTCCCGTATTATCTTTCTGTAAGAAAGGAAAAAACTAACTCATTCACTTCTTCACCTCTCCTACACGTTCCTTTTTCTCTCCTACGTAACCTTACTGTGATTATGACGCTCGACTATAGGCCACGCCCCCACCCAATCAATGTGGAGCAATTAAAAAGTAAAACGACCCACCCTTTTTAATAAAAAAAAAAACAACTAAATAAAACCCCACAATCAAATAAACCCAAATAAATAATATTAATCGTATACAGTGTGCGATATTTACAATTCACTCGCCTTCCTCCCATGCTGGTGGTGCCTTGAACCCATAGAGTTCTGCCTATAATTTAGAGTAATAATAAGACATTGCCATATATTAACTCATGTAGTGTATGAGCAGAGATATTTACAAAATGCTAATTTATCATCATCACCTTTTTATTCATGAAATGAAATTCATACAAAATCAATGAATGTGTCAAAATGACTGTGGGGTAGACAGCTTGGTGACAGACCGGACAGTAAAGGTAGCCACTCCGACTTATTCTTCTTATTCTAAGTCCGACTTGTTAGTTCTGTGATGAAATATTATCCTTTGTTTCTTCAAAACAGATACCGATGCATTCACAGAATCAGAAAATACAACCAAGAAACAAATAGTACAACTCATGGCTGTCATCAAGTTCAACTATACTCTTTTCTTTTTAACATGCACATTTTTCCTAGCACATGCAAACAGGATGTTTCCATCAGTGAACAGCAATTTTCAAAACGGTCTGAAAACATAGAGATGATGAAGAAGAGTCGTCATTTCATGGCATCAATAGCAGAACCACACCCACAGTTACACTTTCAAAGTTTCTTTTGAAAATGGCTCATCAAATATGGCTGCACAAACACAAGACCACAGGAAGTCAAGTCCAAACACAAGGAAACAATCTGACTGGATCAAGTAATATCTGCACATGATTTACTGCTTCTTTAATCTACTTAGAGATGATTCCAGACACCAGTACACTGCCTCTGTCAGTGCGTTATTATCATCTGGTCTTTGATTTCAGTGTGTGATAATCAGGCAAGAGATGTGAAGAAAATGTTCAAGACACAAAATCCATTTGAGGCCCTTCAAAAAAAACGTATAATTGTATTCAAAACAATTACTCCACAAATGAGAGATCCTGTTAGCTTGTTCAATGTTGCTTCCTTTGGTTCCAGTTCCAGGTTAGGATTACCTTTTGAGAACTTCTTACTTCTGATTGGATTAAGCGCCTACATGTAGAATACGCACTTGAAAAATTAATTAAAATTAATTGTTAGGTTTAGGAGGTTCTAAATTTTTTTTTTTTGTCAGACTTTGGCAAAGTCAAATAGCTAAAACTAAAACTGTGTAAGCTGGTAGTTAGCCTAAAAATGCTAAACTGGTTGGAAACAGTCAATAAAATGGCCGTTCAATCGTTCATACTAACTGAATGATTGGTAGGATACAATGTTGTTAGCCAAACAATACTCCATCTTACGAGTTCCATAAAAATTATGCAAATTTTCTATTGTGATATTGCGAAGGAGCAAAAACTTTTTTTTTTTTTACCCTGATGTAACCTCATGACTGTAACTCCTGGAGAAGGCAGTAAACGAGCTGTGAGAGTAAACTGTGTTTGTTTAGGTAGTTCAGGTCAGTTCAGTTTTGCAAAGATCGACAGGATCACAGATAGCTTACACAATTTAAAATAAATAAAAAAAAAACAACTTTAAGAAAAATACAACTTGATCCACGTGTGCAACAAACACTGCTTTATATCCTGGGTGTTTAATCTGGGCTGAGATTATGGACTCAATGTTTGGACTTGAAAAAAGCCCAGAGGATTTAATCAATGTCTGTGCTGAAAAAAGAGAGAGAATGTCTTTATCTGTGGTTATCCTAAAATTATCTGTACATCATGGATTATTTTTTACAATTTACAAATCTTCAAAGTACATGAAACGTGTTTATCCACAGGGTCATAAAGCTACAGGGCAGATGAAGTGTTTTCTTTTTGCATAGCCCTACTTTAGAAGTGAACAACAACAACAACAACAACAATGCAACTCTGTGTTATAGCTGTAAGAGTGTTTCATGCTATATGCAGAATCACCTACAAACACTCACCCCTTACACCCTGCTCTCCAGAGTCTGGGCAGATATGACCAACATCAAACACCAAACTGTAAACATTCTGTGTTGGAGTGACACTGAGACAGTGGTTGATTAAAACAATGGCACTTTCTTTTATCAGACTGGCAGTGTATTTGAAAAAAAAGGCAGCTATTTACCACCCGCCCTTTTTTGTAAACGTACAAAGACTATTTTTTTTGGACATGATCAAACCCCCAGCATGCACTACGTTACTTCTTCAATTTACCTACGACAAAGTTAGTTACAAAACAGGACTGTCACAAAAAAAACTGCTCTCCAAAAATTCCACAGAATGCACCACACCTTGAAAGATGGTTGTATATTGGATTCGTTTATAGACTTTGAAAGAAGAATATTGGCCACACTTCAAAAAGGGGGCACAGGGGCAGAGAGGGGCTTTGCTGTACTATATAGTTATTTGGCAGACGTCTTCAAATTCAAACGGGTTTCCTGAGGCAATCCAACCTGGGATTTGGTGACTAAATTATATCCAGCCCGCAATCTTCTGGTGGCAGATAAGGGTACTACATCTATGCCACTGTAGACCTGTTAAAACCAATATGTTCTATTTTCTTGGTCTTGAACCAGAAATATGCCACTCAAAAGTGACGACCGATGTACAGAAATGATTTACAGATGTACGGAAAAAATGTATTAATTCTAAATTTCTGTATTGAGTCTTGGTTCACTTAGTGCCCTGGTTGAAGGGTCAAGTTTGGCGGAGTCGTCTGTGTTTTCAGGTTGGATTATTTGTAGCCTTTGTATAGAGTGATCCTTAGTCTGCATAGTAATGGACCAGGTTCCACCTTTTCAAGAATTAGGATCTACAAGGATCCGCCTGGTCCGTGTTGATGTTCAGAAGTTAATTTCTCACCCCTTTTTTGGTTACATCACACGATGAAGTGTCACGTCAGAGTTCATTTGAAATCAGTGTGAACTGACCCGTAAACACCACTCAGCCACATACATGTACAGAACACTACTTAAGTGCTATGCATATACTAGAATGAGAAACCACCTTAAAAAAAATAAGGCACTTGTTTTTCAGTACCAACATATCACAGAAGAGTCACACAGTTTAATCTGGACCTGACCCCAAGTTTTAAATTTACATGGCGTAGAGTGGTTTAAGAAAAAAACTATTATTTAAAAAACGCTGTCCAAGCTTGAATTAATAAAAATGTTTGCTTTCTGTTTACTAGGAAGGTGACATGACGGGAATGTGGACCCGAATATTTTCATATTGATAAAAGACTGTATTCCAGGTCGTGATCCACTGGTTACACTGTCAAACACAAATGGTTTTTCTACGACTGCTGATAGACTGGGGGGTCATACACTAAACATCTGCTTCTGGTGATTACAGACTACATGATTTATCAAACCAACAAAAAACAACGGACATCCTCATCATCATCCACATTGTCACCACCTTCATGTGTTTAAAGGGTAAACAAACAAACTGTCTGAGTTGGCAGTCAGTTCACGCCACATAATTGAGTCCAGATCAAAATCTCAGATGGCTGTGGACGGGTCTGTCAAGTGTTTGGTTTCCCCCCTACACATTAATTATCCACAGTGACTATCCACAAGTAGTGAAGACTGATGCCGACTGGGGAATTGTGGGGAAAAATCTGACAGAAAACTACTTAAGCGTGTCTTCAAACTATAGAGCAGCTCTCAGGGATTTGGAGAAAAACGAAGAACTTGAAAAGATGTCGTGACAGCAATGATGTCACCATTAACGCAAGAAACAGGAAAATGCCATTGTTTAGCAGACGACCAACGGTAAAGACAGCAACAATGACAATTCAACGTACTCTGACAGTCAATAGATTTCCTTGAATCACATGATTTGGCTTTTGTCTTCTGCTCAGACTCCAATCGTGCAATCTGAACACTTCCACTAGTGCGTTCCCGTGTGCTCTTATTTTAGTGTCTTTGTCCCTCTGTCCTCCACCAAGCCCTCTGGTTCCACATGCACATGAAGCAGACTAGCACCAGTCTTCTTCGTCCCGGTCCCTGAGACTTTCTGCTCCTCTATTTCCAGGCCCAGACACGGAGTTCAGGGTGAAGTGGTATCCATTTGGCACAGTAACTGTTCTTCCCTGTGTGACTGGCACTGTCACAGGCGCAGCAGAAGTTCCCGTTGCAGTTGAGGGAAAAGTTCTGGCAAAACGTCCTGCTCCTCCATGACTACTCACAGCATCGTGAAAGTCCTCTGTGTCCTCCAGGAGGTTTGGAGGTAAAGCTTCCGGTTGCTGCCGGTTTAAATGAGTGTCAGAGCCAATACGTGTGACCGGAATTGTGGACTCACTGTGATGTCCAAGGAGTCGCTCGTGCTCTGAGAGCCCACGTATAAACCGAGTCTGATGCCCTGTTGTTGTCACAGCAGCACTGGGCTGCGCAGTCGACGCGCTGGCGGTCTTGTAGGAAACAGCTGGACGAGGAGTGAGGGGCGTCTGTGGCAACTGCCTGCGGTTACGGGCCGGAACGCTGGAGTCCAAGGTTCCAGGGCCAATTTTGCTGACACTGCTACCATGCTGAGAAATGAGAAAGATGTTTTAGGACAGGCATGGGCAAACTAAGGCCCGGGGGCCGGATGTGACCCGGCTTCAGGTTTTTAATCTGTGCCACCAAACTTTTCCAAATTGTATAATTTATTTATATTATCATACTTCTGCCTTTTCCCTGCAATACCCACGTTTTCCCAATAGATGGCATAAAAAAAATGATAAAAGCATTTTAGAATTTTAGCCTTGATATATGACTTTTTCATGTCATTTATCATAGTTCACACAAGGGCTCCCTCAATCTGCTCCTGACCCGGCCCCACCCTGTTCAATTTTAGGACAATTGTCGGTGAGTCGGTGAGTCAAAAACTTTGCCCACGCCTGTTTTAGGAAGTCATTAGAGTTTGTCAAAGATTCTGCAGCTTTTTAGGAGGTTGGTTCCAGAACTCTAGAACTATGTAAAGACCCAAAAGTAAGAACTATTGAGCAACTACAGACTAGCTTTGTCTGCAGCTTCTTGTCATTGTGACACTGCACACACAACCAAATGTGACCTCTGCTTTTTAACCCATCACCAAAGTGAACAGTGGTCAGCTTTAAGCGTCTGGGCATGGTGCCACCCTCAGAGCACCTCAGTGGTAACTTGGCAGCTGGTGGACTCCTTCCAGACCCAAGTCAGCTTTCTTAACCACCAAGACACCACTGCCCATCACTGTGTGTGTGTGGGTATACACCGCATCCATGTGCTCAATAGCTTGACAGTCTGTGTGACTGCCCCCATGGGTAAGTAAAGTTTTTAACATAACGCCATGTGGTTGTCAAAAGTCTGAGGAGTTCACTCTGGAGTCCAATTTGGAATTCTGCCAAATTTGAACTGACCTGTAGACATCCCGTAAGACGTCAAAAACACAAATAATGACTCAGACAGATGGACTCCTGGAAAACACTGTAATACCTTAACGTAACACACAGAGAAGCGGAGGCCGTGCATGACATGTTTTGCAAATCCGATTAGTTAGCAGGACGTACTGCCCCAAGAGCAGGACAGATGGACACAGGGACACAGGGAGCCTCACCTGTTTGAGGAACACATTCTCATGTCCCTCGCCAGGAGACGTGGACCTACTGGGACCAGCTGACCTGGTGTGACACTGCTGCCTGCTGCCATACCGTTCACAGGAGTAGTAACGCTGCTTCTCTCCGGCTGAGGAGTGATGCCTCCTCTCGTGAGGACGACTGCGGTCACGCTCCCTTGGCCGTTCTCTACACACACCTTCAGCCAAAGGGTCTGTGAAGGAGTCTGGATGATGATGAAGACCAAATTATATAATGTATAAATGTTAAAAAAAAGAAACATTTGCTGTAAATAAAACAGTTGGTGTAATTACTGTGTAGATTACACCAACATCATATCACGTATCATGTGGGTGCGTTGAACTAAAGGCAAACACAACCATTCACGTTCACATTCACACCATGGTTAGTTAAGAGTGAATAATGAATCTAATCGTACATGTTTTTAACAGTGGCAGAAATCTGGGGGAAAACACACATACACACACACACTAAACACAGGTTGCCCATGTTCATTAAGCAAGCCCAGGAATCCGACCATGATTCCTTCTTGCTGTGAGGTAAGAACGCCAACGTTTTTAGCCTGTGACATCATCATTAGTAACCTCCATTGGTTGAGAAGGGATAAAGATTTTCTTTCCAAATTTACAAAATTCTTAGACTCATCTAATCTAATACATTCTTTTTTCCAGTGGTAACCGTGTGGTTTAGGCCACATGAGAGATAGAGCGAAGCAGTTTCATCTTCAGGTCCGCCAACATCCTCTGCACCAAAGGGCCACAGAGACAAGACACAGATGTGTGGTTTCATTAAGAAATTAAAACCCACACAGAAAAGCTTTTAATCCCTGAAAATAGTTTCATGTGATGCAGAACCGGTGATGAAACTGAAATTGTCACAACTGCATTATATCAGGGATAAAATCAGATCAAGACATAAAACATGGGGCATGAATCAACTCGTGAAGTAAGCCTTGCTGTAAATATATGACTCACACTATTACTAAGGTCAGATGGTAGACTCTTCAATCCGATAATAAAAAGGTTTTTTTGAGAATCGACAAAGATGGACGGTGGTCCATGGTTCTTCCGTGTCCATAATGGCATATGTGTAACGTGGACACTACGGACCGCTGTAGCCTGCAGGATTTCCCTTCAACTCTCAAATGGTTAAAACATCTGTGAGGCACTGGTGTCTACAACAGTGTTTTCCACCTTTCAGTAGGAATTGGGGCACACCATTTTTTTTGCGACAACCTAGAGGTACATCAACCAGTGGGAAGCCCTTGTCCTGAAAACATGTCTAGGCACTTAATGGCAGACTACTCTACGAGTACTCTATGAGTATGGCACAACTAAAGATGTCTTCAAACTGATTTGAAGTCCCTCAGCATTGACCCTAACACCTGGCTGAGGGCAGTGGGGTTTGACCTTCAGCAATGACCCGCGCGTTGCAATGAAAAACAGGCAGCAGGGCAGCATCGGAGAATTCAACGTCAAAGTGTCAAAGTCTTATTCCCATGTGAAAGTTTGAGTATTTATTAATATTATTCCTTAATTACTATCTAATCGAGTCTCTTCTGTCAAGTCTAGATGACTGTGCACATGAGAAAGAAGGCCACTTGGGATTGAGCATTGGTCAAAGATGAACCAGTTGAACCAACCCTCTGCTTAAATCTAATCATGAGCACCACAGAAAACACTTGTGTCTTCCTAACTTCAGATTTGTCCTCAGCACACACTGAAAAACAAACAGGCTCAGATTACTGATCAGGTTGAAGGTTGTAATCTCTGTGGAACAACATGAAGGGTATCATCTCGTTTCTTCATGTGATCCCTCTTTGTTCATCACACCTTTGATTAAAAAGAAATGACTGATGCTCTGGAAACTTCTGTGCATTTCTCTTTAAACCTGTGCCATAAACGCTAAGCCCTGTGGTGCAATTACTTTCTTCAGGAGCTGGAACAAAGCCAGATTTCAGATTAAAAAACCCGGCAATGATAGGAAGACAGAAGCCCATTCATGGCTGCAATGTTTCAGATCTGCTGTGGGAAGGACAAAATGTCTGTGTCACGGAGAGACGCGGAGACAGAGACAGAGCTGCTGGATGCTCTGTCGTCTCACCAAGAGGAAACATAATTCCTTTTATCTCAGCAATGAAGGCCAGCTGCTGCTGCTGCTGCTGCTGCCACCCTTTGTTGAATTACGGCTCTGCGGTTGTACGCCTCCACCCTCGAGTTCACTGTCAGCTGAAAATCTTGCTCGTGTGGTCACACGAACCTTTGACCACAAAAATCCAATCAAATTGTCTTTGAATCCCAGGGAACATGTGGGCCACATTAGAACCACAGGCTTCGTAGGACAGAGATGTCACCTTGACAAAAGGTCACTTCCCAAATCTAATAGAACCAACTTCTTGGATGAGAGGCGAAACGGCTTCAACGTACTTGAGGTGAGTCCAGTTGCCTGCTTTAAAATTGCTTTTGAAATCAACCTTGACCCAACTAGATATTCCCATTCAAACACGGTGCAGGCCAGACACAAGCTCAGAGTTTCCCCAATTTATGGTCATTTGTAAAAGAGGATGGAAACGGAGATAATTACAGTGGGAGAGAAAAGAGACCAAACCATTAGTGACCACTGAATAGAGTGTAAACTAAATACAGTTAACATTTTATAACTAGTGAAGCACCCTGTCCCAGAACGGCCACCGGACTTACTTTCTGTTTCAACATTATTTCATCTTTATTCCACTTTCTTCACTAAGTCTACTTACCTTTCTGAATTTTAAATTGATTATGTCCAAATTTACTTTCTACTTCTTTACCTGCTTTTTTTCACACACTGGATCATCTGCCTCCTTCTCACCTTACCTCCTGCCTCCTCTACTGTTACGCCAGCCATCTCCATCCATAAATCTCCTCTGGTCTCTTTCTCTTCACCTCCTACCTGGCAGCTCCATCACCATCATCTCCATCTTCTCGTCCAAACCATTTCCATCTCTAACTTTAAGTGTTTCCCGTTTAATATAAATATTGTGCAACACCACAGTGCAAATAGAAGTATTCCAAAATTTTCAAAAATTACTATTACTATTAACATTTTAGTCACACAGGCCATATTCTGGAGGTTTGCTGTCTGGAAGTAGCCCCCAAGCCGGAGGTTTTGACACCTCTGCCCTAAACTTCTACATCACAGCTTCTAAACCTACACTGAGTTTTGCTGTTGTCTTTACTCTATGCCACTGTTTCCCCTGACACTGGCTCCTACCCTTTCCTAAACCTCTTTGTCCATTGTCCATATCCGTGGATCGTCCTGATATGAACTTATGTGTTGTTCAGTCAAAGGACACGTGTGAATGAAGGTCTGTTCTCACCAACAGTGCCAGAGGGTTTCACCGTGGCTCCTCTGTCCAGGGACTTCTGCTTCTTGTCTTTGTCTCTGCGTCTATGGCAGCGGTGGTGGTGGTGGTGTTGTTGGTGGACTCTGTCCTGTTCCAGAACCTGTTCGGGTACTGTGTAGGACCGAGCCTGGCCGGGACGATCCAGGTGGTACTCCCTGAGATACAGCTCGTGTTGGCGTAGAGGTGTCAGCGAGGACGCTGAGCGCCTGATTGGACTAAGGTCAATGATTGGCTGCGAGGGAAGCAGAAAGGTGAACAGGTGAGTCACGACAGGGGGTCAAAGGTCACGTGGTAGGCTTTACTCCGACACTGAACTGGATCACCACACAGAAACAACACCACCTGTTGGACTAGCAAGCGTAAAGACAGAATCGGTTCGTCTTCGAACGGAAACGTGTAAAAGAGGAAACACTGACCAGTGACAGAGTCTGAACTCTGACTAAGAGCTGATCAGGCCGCAACGTGACTAAAATGATATCAAGATGTTCTTAAGTGACAAGAACAACTGCTGACTTAGTAATTAGTTTTACTCCAGTACTTCAAATTCTTCTATGGAGTTACCTGAGACACTACTGTGAGACACAGTGAATGCCCTTGACTATAAACGGTGGCTTTGATAGGTCCATCACTAGATGTTACAAACAGCGACAGTACAACCGTATAAGACTGATAAGTCTGTGAACGGGGAGTAAGATTTACTGTCTACTTTTCCTTTTGGTTGGTCTGAGTAGATAACAATATATTAGATTAGACTGGATTGGATTATTTTAGGTTATATTAAATTTGATTCAATTAGATTAAACTGGATCTGATAAAATATACTGCGACATTGTTCCGTCTGATCCTAATGAAAACCGAGTAGGAAACTGAAACAACAGCGAAGATACAACCCCACCTGCTGGTAACTCTGGAGAATTTCTAAAGGTAACTGTCCGTAGATGTTAGAGTGATGATTTTTTTTCTTTTCTTTTCCAAAGCTCAGGTTTATCAAATGCATAGAGAAATAAATATTATATACATATTCATCAGGTTTGGGGAGTTTCTGTTGTTTCCCTTGTTTCTATCACAGTCCAAAATCACCACAATAATAATAATAATATATTCTTTTACTCAGTCTCAAAATCATATTATTAAGAAAATAAGACTTTAAGACTGACAGTTTTCTTTGATTAGTCCTCACTTATTTAAAGAAACAAGAACGTGTTTCACATTTACACAACTGTTCACAATACAGTTTTCTAACCCTAACCCTCACTTATTAAAAGAAACAAGAACATGTTTCACATTTACACAACTGTTCACAACACAATTCACTTCACTACATCTAACACACACACACACCAATCACGTCACACCCCAGAGGTTCCCACTGACAAAGTCAGGGAACAGTTCAGTGTGGTTCTATGAGTTACCGACACAGAGTCAGGAGAACCGGTCCAAACCAGTCTGGATGTACTGGTCAACTGTCAGTCCCTGTATGTTGTTTACAGGTGGGAACTAATGATTTCAATGTGCATTAGTCTAAATCACATGTGTCAAACTCAGGCCCGGGGGCCAAATCTGGCCCGCAGTGTAATTATATTTGGCCTGCAAGATCATATCGAATTTGTACTAGAATTGGCAAGCCAGTATAAAGCCTCCATATACTGGCAGGATTTATAGTATTAGCTGTGTATGTGCTATGTTATAATAGATACATTTTGGGGTTTTTTGTTGTTGGTCTATAAAAAAAATATTTACATTAAAAAGGAACTCGAAAGGCTACAGATAAAGAAACATAATACGAAACAAATACGACTGATGTGTGTTTTATTTCCAATTGAATTTGTCATGTGTTTATAATATTAAGCTTTGGTTGTTCCAGATTCAATGTTTACGCAAAAGTAAAGTTACCATATGGAAAATTTGAGTTTGACACCCCGGTCTAAATCAATGATTTCCTGAGTGGGATTTGGTTTGATGGAGTAAGAATCCAGTGACGTAGTAACAGCTGTTCATCATTTTACAGATCTGTACATCTGTAAAATCAAAGTGCAGACAAACCTGCACTAAAGTCAGGGTTTATGTCTGTGACTGTGAGTTAACTCTTAATGCTACATCATTTTGAGCCTGGCACTCTTCAGTACCTCATAGAGTTCCACTTAAATAACCCTAAACAGTTGAATGTCTGTAAAGAAGCACAGAGTGTTTAATTTCACAGATATTTTCAGCATCTCAGTGTTGGCCTCACAGATTACACGTGAGTTCTAATGTGCCACTGTGGACATTAGTGTGGGATGTGAATGTGTTCATGAGCTAAGAGAACATGGAGACAAACACAGATGGGAGGAGCAAGGAAGGAGGAGGAGGTGGTGTTGGTGGTGGTACATACTGCCAGGTGAGTCCCAGGGTCGTGGCGAGGGTAGCTCCGCTATTGGACAACACACACAAAAGGTAGGTGGGTAAACATTAGCAGTGGGCTGTGAGATTAGGGTCAGAACAGAACACAAAGGAAGGGACGGGGGATAGGGAGAAGGAGGAGGAGGAGAGTCACTGCAGAAAGATAAGAACTAAATTGTTCAGTCTTCATAACAGAAACAGAACAGATTTATAACTAGGCTGCTACTTTTCTGCCCTGCCTCTTGATCTTTTTTTTTTTTTTTTTATAATTTTTTGATGAAAACGACAAACATCTTGTGTGACCTGACACTGAGAGACAAACAATACAAAAATATGAAGTATCAACTCCAGGACATGACAAGACAAGAAGACAAGAGCAACAGTATCAACTCCAGGACATTACATAAACATGACAAGACAAGAAGACAAGAGCAACAACAGAAACATCGACAGACATAGAAGTGTAAAATCAGATTTAGTCTTTTTGTTTTGTGCAAGGCTAGATGAAAATTCGACACAAAAACAAAAAGAGAAAAGATATTGAAAGTGTCACACATTCAAATTAAATAATAATAAAACTTTTAAAGAAAGAATTCCTCTGTTCCAAATGTCTAATGTAATGGTAATGATGAGGCACACAACCCAGCCCAGTAGGTGGCAGTATTGCACCTATTGCCAGCCAGAAGAAGATAAACGGAAAGCAATGGATCAGGCACTGGCCCCTGGGCAAAATACAGCCCACTGGACTTTCTTATCCTACCCGTCAAACACTGGTACAAACTGGTCTATCATTTCCAATTACTGTCACTAGATGGCGACATAACCATCATCATGATTATCATAATGTACCGCAGCTGCAGGGTGGCCTATCTCACACAAACATACATGAAATGTTAATGTACCAGCAGAGCAGAGGGATCAACTACAAGAAATGTAAATTTACATCAGAAAATAATTAATCTAGGTTTGGTTTTGCACATTTTATTGTGAGAAAAAAAATCCCAAAAAGGAACTCTATCTATCTATCTATCTATCTATCTGTCTATCTATCTATCTGTCTGTCT